AACCTTTTCCCAATACTTTTAACATTAGTTGCTCCTAAGGCATATACAGTATGTAAGTTGAGAGACTGTTTGGTGACCACAAGAGTCAGGTTGAAATACTTCAAATTTAATTTGTTAACCTATTTTGTGTGTCCAGTAAATGATCTTTCATTCTAAAATGTTTTTCATGAGCCTAGCATAGAACCTTATAGCACTCAACAGAATAATATTTTTTGTTAATTTTATTTATTCACAGATTCATTCCTGTTTCTGAAATAAACATCCTTACAGCTGATTCTTATTTACCAATGCCCTCAGCATATACAGTATTTTAAGAATGCCATGAAGACTCATCGCACTGAATTTGAAAGATTTTTTTTAACCCTACAAACTTAGACTGAAAAACATAACTGTTAATGCTTTAATAGCATTGTCATCTTACAAAGCCAGAATGTCTCTGCATAAAGCCATAATGAATTGCACAGTACTGAGCTGCCCTTCTTTCCTGTCTTAACTTTGAACTGGGAGTTAGAGAAGGCCATCTACAAATAGCAGAAACATGCAATTGTGGGTAGAAAATTGGTACATAAAATTGTTGGGATAGAATAAGATCTTCTGTATGTCTTTCGATGTCTTCATAAGCTCAAAATGGGGTGAGCTGAGGGTTTTGTAACCTCACTGAAAGTCTCATCAGACATTGGAGGGCACATAATATTCACTAAACACCCATTAAGAGTGTCGAATGGAAGTGCTTTTAAAACGAAGGACAAATTGTTCGGGGAGTGTGAAGCAAGCTGTCCAGTCATATAGTTGGATCGATTAATTAATTACTGTACCAAACAAGCTTAACAGGCCGAATCACCTCCTGTTTGCAACCTTTCTTTTGTTTTTTAGATTCCAACATGACTTTAGTATTTAAATTTAAAGTTGTTTCAGATTCAGGGCTCATAATTTCCTTGATACAATTATCATCCAGAATGATTTAAGCTTTTTCTAACAAGGCACATGCATACTAGACTCTGCATAATTATTTTTTATCTAGACTTTATTCTGCAAAACATTCCATTTATGAGGCAAAAAACCACAAACTGGTTTCATGAGGCAAAACCACAAACTGAAATCAACAACAACTGGCAACAAAAAAAAAAAGGAACTGCAAAATAAATATCTACTCTTGGTAAGGTTAAAATTAAAATGTTACTATTTTGTCTCTATTCTCAAACAGCTTCTAAAATGGCAACTTCTATAAATTAAAAATAATATTTCTTGATCTGTCATCTATATGACTGATATTCTGAACGTCGAAGCGGATTTAAGGTCTTGAATAAAAAGTGGACTGGCTCCTGTGCTCCGCCAATTCTTCTGTCAGGCTTTGTCGCAATTTTACTTCCACCCCACTGGCGGATTCCTGTTTGCATTCTTCAGGCCTTTCATCGCATTTAGAATCTCTGACATACCTTTGACACAGCTTGCCTTTTTTACCACCATTTTATCATTTATTCCCTTAAGCAAACGTCTTTCACACAAATACAAAACAATCTCACTTCAAGATATGTCCCGAATACAAGGAAACAATCTGCTTTTGAACACGTTTTCTCCAGCCACGTATTAACAAGCTTTGCGAAGATACCCACATATATCATTTCATTTGATCAACTCCTAATCAATATGGCAAAATTTGTTAGGAAAATTGAATGTTAATTTGGTGCACCTTGAGGAAATGGCAGCCTGCTTATGAGGACAAGGCTGACCTTGCCATCACTTTGTGGGGAATGAACCAGGGAGCCGCTGCAAGGGTGAAGATGGGATGGAGGGAGTGGGGGTTGAACAAGGGGGGTTCTCCGGGGGGCAGGTATTCATACGTAAGGGCGAGATTAGAATTTGTCAATGTTTGAAATGTGCATTTACAAACCAGACATGGAAATGTTTCAGTAACTCACTGGTTGCTCCCTTTTTGTTTCATCAGGAACAACAACTCCTGAGTTTATAGTAAAATGTCACTTGGGTTTGGTAAGATTCGGCCCGATCCAGTTGGCTGGGGGCAACCCCCCAATCTGTAGGATGAGGAGGAAGAGACCCCCGTGCACGCTGAGGAGTTACCCAAGAGGCAGCCGTAAAGATGTAGGTGGAATAGAGAAAAGACACAGGAGACAAAATGAAAAGAATGAGGATTTGTACAACATTTGAGAAATTACATCATGAATAATTTAGAGCAGCTGGAAAAAAAGTGGCATGGTTTTCAGCCTCCCTTCTGAATTTCAGTTACGAACCAACTCAGTTACATTTTCTGAAATAATAGCGATGAGGTGATTTTGCTCATCGTTTTTAATTGGTTTTGATTGTTTCCCAAAAGAACTGGTTTTGAACTTTACACTCTTTCAGGTTTTTGATTGAAGCCTTCGGTTTTCTTGTTTCCCTTTCAGAAAAAACAGGAAAAGAGCAGATTTTTTATCTGGCAGATGGCTTCTCAGTAATATTTATTGAAAACAAATGAAATGAAAATTTCAGAATGAAAAGTCATTCTGAAACTTCACTAGTAGTCAAGGGAATTACCTACACTAATTCATTAACACATCCACTTTTAATTTGTGAAATACAGGGAATATATTCCCTTTTTCAATCAGTTGTTTTGTCTACATTAAAGATTACACTTCAAGAATCTCAAAACATTACAACTAGCCCTTACTCCAAGCTTAATTTATCTTTTTAATGAACTCACTGATTACCCTTAGTTTGACATGCAGTAAATACTTAAATATTTATTGTTAAAAAACAACACAGTTTCTATATAAATATAAAAATCAATATCATGCACTTTTGTTTTGGAAAAGGTAATGTAATAATTTGTGGAATCGATCCCAAAGAAGCCTGTTCTACAACCACATATACTGTATCAGCCATCAATTTAGAAACTGTGGTTGTAGACTAGAGATTGTTTATTCTTGAAATGGCCGTTTTATGGGGAACGTTGCTAAATAAATACACTGGCAATCTAAGTCTCCACTCTTGGAACAGAACTCCTCACCTTGCAATGGTCTTCCTTGTCACTGTGTTGTATCTGGTATTGTTTTTAAGGTGAAATTTTAAAGTTAACTCCTGATTGCTTATGGCCATACCAATTCCCATTACAGAAGTCTAAGCAGGAAGTGTCTAAGTAGTCAATAAAGTAATTTTAGACTAATTAAGTAATTTTCCTCCCTTCTCCCCCTTACTAGTTCTAATCTTAGTAGTAGAGTAAAAAGGCTTCACAGTAGATGAAATAACTGTTCTCTTCTTTGGGCACTTTGGGATGAATATACAGGATGAGTATACAAATTAAGAACTTGTGTTTGTGAGACGAGTCAGTCATCCTATAGGTGTGTTCTGGAGAACCTGAAGTAACATCCAGTATGCCCTAGAGCCTACTGGGATACAAGCAGAAGGGATACACCACTTTACTAAGCATCAAAAGTAAAAGGATATCTCTATTATAACCATTTTTCAGCACAGAGTAGACTAGGGGGATTAAAATGAGTTTTTAAAAACACCCAGAAACAGTGCTGTGACAGAAGTTTGGAATCTTCTGATCAGAATTAGGTTACATACAAAATAATAAAAAAAAAACATTGATGCGGGTTATACTGTAAATACAGCACAAAGTAAAAACAATATTGCCAAAAAATGTGATTTACTCATTTGTTTTTTTATTTCAAAAGTACAAAATGGACTGATGTCCCATTGTAAAATGATGACATGTGGTGCAACAAGCATTTAAATAACATAACATTTCAAATTCATAAACATGTATTTACAACTGTAACTATATCAAGACAAACTATTTAATCAAGGAACAACTAAATCACCAGTTAAGTATTGTATAAAATGGAAGAGGCTCCTGCACTTAGACAATGAAAAAGCTACATTACTTAAACAAGTGGGCATCTTGCATTGCTCAAACATTCATACCACATTATCAGTGCTTCATTCATGTATATATCTTTGGTTAAACTGTAGGAAACGAGTATTAAAAACATTTATGCACTGGATCCTCTGCTAAATGCCTTTAATGTCATACTGTAATGTTTAAGTGTAAAATAACATTATTGATAAAGGTTATGCTCGTTTTCTGGCTTTTTAATTTTGCAATGGTTCATCTTCAGGTACTGGATTTCTTGCACCAGAACTTTTGACTAGTTCATTAGTTTCATGGTTCATTTAATTGAATAGACTTTTTCCCAGATCTCAAGCAAGTAATTGTCTGGACGCAGAGAAAATGGACTGGAGGATCACAAGTAGGGAACTCCAGCCTAAGCTGAGATAAAAAAGAAAGGTTATGTATTGCAACAGTTTCCTACCAGAACACTGTCCCAAGCCATTAAGAGACTACAATTTTCTGGACATCAGTTTCCATGATGCTGATGGTCTTCCTCTAGGATTGTGGTTGGGCCCTTCTTTGACTTGGGATCTTAAAATATAGTGTGTTTATAAATAGCTATGTTATTTCTCAGCATGTTTATTCACTACATATAGTATAGCATTTTAAAGACAGTTATGTACACAAAACTCTGTAGCTGTAAACCATGAGGACAAGAGTCAAGGCATCTCGGAAGACTCAAACTTAAACTGCATCAATTTATGGATTAGACACTTTCTATATTGAATATAAAGACAGTTCAGAAGGCACATAGACAAACTACAAAAATCCCATTGCCGAAAGAGTGTTGATTTGCCCACACACAGACATAAACCTCGAGGTTACTGCATTGATAGCGGAGCTATAAATGGTGAGCAGGAATCAGTGTGATGAATGCTGAGAAATAGCTATCTTTAAACCTTTATTTAAGATAAGAACACTTTATTGGCCATATACAATTTCTTGTATTAGGATTCTTGTATCTTGTATTTCTTGTCTTTTTGGGTACCCACACAGACAAGGAGTGAAGCTGGGGATCGGAGCACAGGGTCAGCCATTTATATGGCACCCCTGGAGCAGCTGGGGTTAAGGGCCTTGCTCAGGGGCTCAACGGAGTAGGATTTCTCTGCCGGCTGTGGAATACGAACCGTCAACCTTCCAGCCACAGGCGCAGATCCTTAGCCACAGAGCCACCACATCTTCCCTGCACCCAGTGATTGGTGGACATTTTTGTCTTGTCCTTCTTTTAACACTAATTACATAGAATAAGAAAAACATAATGCTTACACAGATAATTAAGGGACAAACAGTTAACAGTTCCCAAGTACTCCAGTACACATCTCTGCCAGTGGTTCTTCTAGGATTACAGCTCCAACTCTCACTGTTGCAAAAAAGTCTTGACAGTCATATCAAGCCTAAGATCATTTTTCTTTCAAATCTGTTATTTACCCTCATCTTTACGCATTCTGAAAATAATGCACCCCAGAACCACTCGACTGATTGTTTTCCACCATACACTTTACTTCTTCCCTTATTGTTTTTTTTCCCCTAGATTCTCACAAACAATAAATGCAACAAGCTCTGTGCAGAAGGCAAACAGACAACTGCTCCAGGCTGAACACCAAACCCATCACTTTGAGGCCACACAAGGGGTAAGTGCAGGAAGAGTTAGGAATGGTAATGGATAAAATATTTATTTACATTAGGGCTAAGGACGTACAGTATAGATCAGGAAGTGAGCCAAGTGCTGGACTCTGTTTTATAGCGATCTCTCAAATAAATTCATCTTTGAATTTTGAGTTCTTCCCATTACAGTCAAGTGTACAACAGCTCAGTATGTGTCCCTTTTTTGTTGCCTTTCCTATGATCCGGTTAAATTAATACAAAAATGTAACAGCAAAGCAGTTAGTGAAGAGACAATAACATGAGTGAAATCCCTGTATTTCATTGCAGAAGGCTTGGAAGTCAGATCAGTTACAACAGCTCCAGGTCAAGTCTTGGCTATTTAGGATAACTGGTGAGCGCTGGGTAGTTCCAAAAGATGACAGAATGCTTTGATGACTTCAATCAGATCATTTCAAACATTGCAGTAATTTGCTGTGGCTCGGAATTCATGCTACATTATGTTGGCAATCTGATTAAGTGAGGTGTTTACGCTAAGTAAGCAAAATACTTAAAACAGTGTTAGAGTTTCGAAATGCACTTATACGTTTCTGTCTCTTTTATTCTGGAGAAGTTCCCATTGCTCCGTTAAGTTATGATGGTTGGGTTCAGTATCTGCCATTTCTGGTTGGGTGGAGAACACCTTGATGTTTCTTTAACCCCCTGGGTTTCATATTCATGTAATCATTCTGGTTGTGTTTTTTATTTTTTTGTTTGATCTGAAAGAACCAAAAACATACAGTACATGTTAACACAGCATTTTATTTTCAGTGGCTTAATTGATTAAAAGTCCTTAACCAGTTCATATAATACAATACAGTACTTTTATGTCATATAAGCTTTACCTATCCTGCCGATTATACTGCAGTTCACAAGTTGCAAGCTTGGACTAGCTTCCAGGAAGAAGGCACTTGTTCACAAAGTAACATAACTCCTTTGAACAAATTCATTTTTATCAGGCTTTTGCCACATGAAATTCTAAATTCATATAGGCATATATTTTTGGTTGTTACTGTACTAGAGCAATGGGTCTCCAATGATAGTCCTAAGAGTCCATGTGTCTGCAGTTTTTCTCTTTATAGCACCGACAAAAGTTGTTAAATTGCTCCAGCTCGGCTATCAGTGAGTTGATACAGAATTGAGCTGGAATGAAATCCTGCACATACAACTGGACCTTCATGACCAGGATTGAAGACCACTGTTTTATACAAAAGCACAATGAGAAAGATTTTGGAATTTTTATATCCAATACTCCGGAAAGAGAAATGAAAACCAGATTAGACCAGAAAGAAACCAGAAACAGTGAGTTCTTTTATCAACATTCATATATCAGGAGCCCGCTGCTGTCATACTTACTGTACGAAAACATACTGTATGTGCTGGGTGTTCAAATCTAGAGTTTATGTACTGTTGGTTAGTATTTCTTAGTGTAAAAGAGTGTGCACTTAACTGTGTTTTTTGGGCTGCATATGTGAAATACTTATATTTCACTAAGTGAAATTGATTTTGGTGAGCCTCAGAGAATCATCTTTCGCCACACAACCTCTACTGCCACACAAGATGCTAGCATCTTTTCCAACGCATGTTTACAGTATGTGTTAATTAACTGATGAGGACACAGGGCATAACCTATGAATAAGTTTAACATTGCCTTGTGTAGTTAAATCAGTCTTGTGTAGTTCAACTAAAAGTAGGTTTTTAGAGTGTCCACAACTGGATTTTGTACATTGAGCACATTTTATAATTAAACAGGAGCTGAACTGTTAACTACTTGCTTTTTTGCCATTTCCTAGGAGAACCATCCTGGTCAATTTTAACCCTGACTGTTGAAATTTACCCATGTATTTCCCAGCAGTACTACCAAATGAGGAGACAGACAAATTTTAGTCATCAGTGTCGCTAACATCTTTTTTGTCAGATGTGAGACTTAGCAGTTTAAAGAAGCAGGGATTACTCACGTAACAGATGGCCATTATCACTGTGATAACCAGGCTGTACAGCAGAATCACACAGCCTGCTATCATCAACACCAGTGTCAAAGGGAAGTTTGAACCACATGGTGTTATGGGTTCTTTGCATTCGTTTTCTGAGAAGAAATAAAATACAGACATGTTTAAAATTGAAGCAACAGCTGTAACCTTTTATTCAGCTCAGGTGCTCTTGAGTCAACTCTTGTTTCATGCTCTTAAGGGCAGGTGACATTCAGGAATAGTTAACTACCAGTAAAGTAGTAGCAGTAGTAACTATTATTACTATCAAATTAGTTGTAGACTTACTTAAATTAACTTTACATAGTTAAGAATAAAATAACGATAATTTATTACTCAATATAGAAGCTTTTATTTATTTTATTGAACAGCTAGCTTGCGCTAATCATTTATTTACATGTGCTCACCTAACTAACTTTTTATATCTGTCCCATTGTAATAGTGTCATAAAGCAATCTGGAATACTGCACTATACTAACATTAGTACAATACGGCAATGTGTTTGAGTTACATTGCTGTATGTCATTACAGATTAATGATAATTAAGAACTATGAAGCAACTAGTAAACACTCTTTTATACCTATAAGGCAGACTGCAGACTAGTTTAGAAAGTCCTCCCTGTGAAAGTAAAGGCTTTTCAACACAAGCGTTCTTAAGGCCATATTGAGAAAGCCACTCTGTGTAACGCACTGCTTTGAGACAGTAAAATATATTTCCTAATCAGAAAGAAACATTTACGTATCTTATGGGGGACTTTTAATTTGTATTGTGACAATTTACTGCATTGTTCCCATATTGATATTTCATTTTATTTGATTTGGTATTCAGGTCTTAAACAAGGCAGAAGGAAGAGATGAGCAGATGTTTTCATCCTGCAGAGGCTCTTGGAGGACACAGAAGGAAAAAGAAAGTAGGTCATGTCAAAATTGAGATATTATCTCATGATTTCAACATTTTGGGTTGGCACCTTCAGTTTTGTTTTTGTTTTTTTAATTCCAAAAGCTATCATAGAGTGCATTTACCTTTTATTAACATATCAGTTTCAATTATATTATTTCCATGTTACCTTTCAGATTCATGTATCTAAATAATGTTGCACTTAAATTTAATCCAAGCAGATGGTCCGCATCTGGTAACAAAAAACAATATTTGAGAGTATATTTCCAGTACTCCAAATTATGGTAATATATTTTACTTTTGGTTTAGAACAAATAATGAGTATTTAACCAGAAATGTTTTGAATTTTAATTGATTTAGCAAGGATTGTCATTCAATCCATCTGAAAATGTAACATTAAAAATATGACATCAATATTTTGGGACCAATTAAACCAATTTAGTGTATGTTGTGGTACTGTAATTATGTTGCATAGTGACAGTCATTGGAGTTCATACTGTCATTTATTGTGGTATTATCATAGTTTAGAGGTTTTACCATTACAGGTTGTGCTATTGATGGGGGTGAAAACCATAGTTTTATGTAGTTTATGACACTTTGTGATATATTACCATAATAATTAATTTCGAGGTTTTTTACCTGAGGGTTGAGCACATATTAATGGCCATTGACTTCCTGTTTCTGTAGTGACTACAGCTGAAATCATGGCTTTTTTACAAGAAGCTTGGAAAAGCAGCATTTGTCTATTAGTGATGTTTTATTCTTAAAAAAGTAAAGTACCATTCAGTTATCAGGAAATTCACACCTTGTTATCAGTATCTTTAGTTTATCTGCAAGGAAGAGATGTTAATCTGCTCAGAGGAACTACGATACAGTGTCAGCCAGAGGAGAGAGAGGGCAGAACATGTTCTCCTACAGTCCTGAACACTATTAATTGATTCCATATTATAACTTTTAGCAACAAAGACACTCTGGTCCAACAGGGTGAAACATATTCAATCTGAATATCATTCATAAGTCTCAATATAGATGTGTAATTAACTCAGTCCTTTTTTATGTCTCTTTAAATATTCTAAATTCTCAATAATTCTATTTCAAATTCCTTTTTAAAGATCTGTACTCGGAAAAGTTACGTATACAGTAAATAAGCAGAAAACTCCTGATGGCTAATAATCTGTGTAAGATATTTCAAACCCATAAACACATAAATCATTTTATTTAATTAAACCGAACTGGACATCACTAAAGTGCTTTAAATAATATCTTCTGTAAATGCCATTTCTTTGAAAGTCTTTGAAGAACAATACTTCTTTGAGAGTCAGTATCAGGCCAGACAAATGTCTTAATTTGTTCGGTATAGACTTGGTGATCTGATCTTGCTCTTTTATTTGAATTTAAGTTTTGAATCACAAACATCTGCTAAAATATTACTATACAAATATTGCATCTATCAGGTCACTCTTTTCTCTTTTCTCTTTCTATTACTAAGAAAATAGTGTATGTTTTTATTTAGTCTAAATGGTTGTAATGATCTACTGTATATGCAGCTGTAGATGCATTTGCATTCTGTACCATACTACATTTGTATGGTACAGAATGTGATTGCTATACACTGGCTCTTATTAAAGTAGAAAACATAAAACATATTATTCCTGTCCTGGATACCCTGCACTGGCTTCCAGGAAAATGTGGAATTGATTATAAAATGACAGTATTTGAAAACAAAGCACTTAATGATTTGGCAGGTAGTTATCTTGCAGAAATGTGGCCCCTCTCAAAGTCAATTAGCTGTAAGTTCTGTGGTGTTTCTGTGTCTGTTCTCCACAGCTCTGGAAATCACCACCGCTCTATATTAAACTTTGTCTTCTGTATCCCTTTTTTAATTCAAGCTTAAAACTAATTTCTATAAATGTTAGCTTTGGATTTTGTCTTTAACTTTATCCACTCATTTTTTTGCAGCTTTGATTCTGTTTTTGAGCCGTATTTTAACTTGAAATCCTGTTTTATTGTCTTTTCTGTTACCATTTTCCAGTTTGATTTCCCAGTCGAGCTCTTTGTGACTTGTGCAACAAAAGTCACCCTACAAACAAATATAAAAATAATAAAAATGATGTACAACTTCTCATGCCCACTTAAGTCTTAATCACAACTTCACCGCAATTTAACCCGTTTTCTGGCCTCCAGGCCTTTAATTTCTCTTATCATTTAAAGGGACTTAGAAAATTAACTGGATTTCACAGAGAGGAAGGTGGGAATCTTCCTTTCTTAGTCCTGGTGTATGCAGTCCTGCTTCTGGAAGGTCAATGTGCCAATGTGCCTTAAGATGTTTTATACAACCAGGGAGTGAAGCTGAGAACCATTGTCCACTGCACCTGGCTAAAGACAAATCAAAAAGAAGCAATTTGGAAAGAAAATGCAAGACTAACCATCGACAATGAGGACTGTGGTGGATCCATTGATTTTCCTGTAAGGTGGTGGGTAGAGCACTTCTATGTCACAGCTGTAGATGCCTGTGTCATGTGTTTGCAGCTGTGAGAGTGTAAAATAGGCTTGACTGAGGCCGAAGTTCACAGGGCAGGCTTCAGGACTGCTGCTGTCGTGAAGGGTATCATTTTGTTTCTTGGTCCCAAAGCATCTCTCCTTCCTTCCGTTCTGGAACAGGACAAACTTAATTTCGTCACCGGTCAGGTTACCAGTCTCAGGCTTGCATTCCACTGTCACGTTGCCGTGGACTGCTGCTCTTAAAACCCTGGGCGGCGAAACATTTCTATCTGTAAAATAAACCAAGGACAAAGCTGAAGAGGAGATGTGAACCAGGCAATATTAAAACAGAACTAAATATTAATGTCACTTTGACACACCTGGTAGGCTCATAGACTCTCCATTTTAAAATAAAACACCAAGCACAAAAGAGAGCTGGCTTGACCACAAAGATACATGGTAATTTGGTTTCATACATCATGTAGCTTAAATCTAGAGTGCAGATCCTTCTGTTGTAAATGTAGGACATTTTCCTATGCTCAGGAATGTATCTGATAGGTCTTTCTGAAAGGATTCTGCATCAAAAGTTTTTTTTGTTTAAGGTGGTAACCAAAATAGGTTTAACAGGTTTTAAAAAGGATTAACAGGGCATTATACAAATATACATTATACAAATTTAGGATCTCCTTGGTTTAAATTCTACTTTTCTAACTATAAATCCTAACGTTTGTTTGCTTTTTCATAAGTAATATAAAATACTATCTCAGCAACCAGATCTCTTTTTGCTGATCATGTTTTCACATTACAAAAATGACATTGCTATCCTGGAAAGAGTTCAGAAGAAGAGCAAGAGTTTAAATCCCTGGTCTATAAGGCTTGTCCTATATACAGAGTCCTATATACAGGGGGGAAGGAACTCATCTTCTCTTGGCGGAGAACAGAGAAAATAATGAGGGGATAGTATCATAATATAACTGATAAAGAAGTCTAGCTTAAATATTTGTTTTAGTATTACTGATTACTGAATTTGTGAACAACATCATGTAAAATGTGTCATTACCTTTGGCTTTATGTTCCCAACCTTGTACTGTCCAGCCTTGTGGAACATACATTATAGTATTCAACAGATACAGCTGCCACCATATTGTGTTACCATGACAAAATCCTGAAATTTATTATAAAGTTCATTTCATGGGCTAACTTGGAACCATCAGTGAAAAAAAAACCTTTGGATAAAAATGAAAATTTTTGAGGATTTGCATCCATGAAGGATAATGCCAATGCTTTTCTTACCCAACGTTTTGTGGGATCAGCCACTTGGTTAGTACTGCTTCTCAAGGATCTTTCTAGAAACAGCTACAGTAGTTGAAATATTTCTGGACTGGCTGAATTGGCTTTATCGACCAAGTAAGTAGCGCCAAATGGTCTCCCCTTGTTTCTCTGTAACATTTGTATCTTCTAAAACTAGAAACAGATGTCCCTGGTTGATTTTATAGACAAAATGTACAATTCGAGGATTGTATAGACAATCCATGTTTTACTTTTCAGCATTGTGAAACACTGAGAAATAATCACTGTTCGTTCCCATAACAAACAGAAAGATACCATCATGGTAACAGTACAAACACAACTATTCACCTAGCACAGTCAGTCCCATAGATATGTCAGCTGGGATAGCTCTGGAAAATAAATTCTACACGTATGTGGTACGCTCCAGTTCAAAAACACCCTTTTTTTCCCCTCAGTTGTTTTTTTTTACATTTGCAGTAATGATGTGGTCTAAATCAACTGTGCTGTCTGCTTCTTACATTCTCGATATGTTCCACTTTACAGCTTCCATTTCAACTTCTCGTCATTCGCTGAGTGCTGCACGGCAGATTTTGTGTTCCCGTTTAAACATAGCATTTGAATGAACCACCTGAAAGAAGTGCTACAGTGCACACAAGTGACTCTTGCATTTCATATTGAAACTTTTGACACCTCATATTTCATTTCAGCGATGTCAAGTTATTATTGAATGACAATAAAGTTACAAGCAATGTCACTGATACACTAATATGTGTAGTTAGTTCACCTAATGAATAACAATTTTTAATCTAACACGATTTCAGATGAAGGGCATCAAGAGCTTTGTCTTTCCATCCCCCAGTGTGTAGAACTTTTCCAGTTCTGTCTCATGATACATTTTCCACAATAATTGTTGCAAGATTGTTTTGTTGCTCTGATAAATAGTGATTGAAGCAATGGGGTTAGTTTTTCACTCTTCTCCCTTTGTGCCATCTTCTGCTGGAAGTGCATGTTTCAGCTTTTGCCATTCCTTTCCGAAAATCAGGGAATAAGCAAATGATATAAGCATTTTGCAGCACCAAGAAATCCTAAAATGTTAAAACCGAATACAAGACAAATAGGATATTTGTCAGATTTTTACATTTCCCTCTGCTCTTTGTGATTTGAATTGCTTGATGATATCAATGTTAAGTTAACTAGATAGTTATTTTGTGTATCAGTATGACCACACTTTTCTGTTGCTGTTAATTGGGCATTCCAATATAACTGCTGCTGTTGACTGGACAACTAAGATCAGTAATATTTCAATTGTAAAGGATGAGAAAGGACATTATAGATGTACGATATACTGTATGTCTCAGCAGAGAATGCATCTCTCCCTGTGATAAACCACACAGACATTTGATAACCTAACAAGAGACTGATGCCGCTTTTTAATGCTCATTAACATAAGAGCCTCAAGCTGGTTATCTCTCAATACATAAAATAATCTAATATGAACCAGTTTCAGAACAGAAAAGCTGTATTCACAAAAAGATAACTTTGTGTGTTTTAGTGCACAGGACAATGGGCTCTGGATTAGTGTACAGTTATAGTAACAAATGTGCCATGCAGTTTTATTACCAACTTCAGACCTTCTGTCTTCTTCTTCTACAATAAAGGCATGCAGCATGTGCAAATAAACACTTGATGAACATCTGTTTCTCTGATTTCGGGTCTCTTCACTTGTATTCATCCTGCATGGCAGAAGCACACAGAACAGCTATAAGGACTGTGGCGATACATGGGCTCCTTGAACTTTTAATTAGCTAGAACTGGGATGTAAGCACACTTCTCATTGGTTTGGTTATCAGCCAATCAGCTGCAAATGGGGAAGCCAGTGTCCTTTAAAAAGCTACTGGTGTAGCATAAAGACAAGGATTTGAATATAAATTGTTCTGTGTGAATGTCTTGAGATTTATTACAGTATATGATCCAGTCTTTCTCTGACCCATATGGAGTGCCACATGAGCCTGGATGGAAATGTCAGCAATCCAGATACTGTTATTAAGCTGTGGCAGCCCGTGCACCTAGTTGGTGGTATCACCAGGTGGTATCAGTGAGAGCAAGTCATGAACATATTTGAATACTAGCAGCACAGACCTGATCTGTTCAGACAAGGGGATGAGGTAGTCAGCAAATCAGGAAAGCACATATTGCATCTTTGTGTGTCTCTTAATCTGTCCCAACCAGATGCACTTTTTTTCCCTAAGATTTGTTGGTTTTCCGGGCGTAAAACATTCCCAAGAATCGAAATTCTGGATGGATAGAAAAACCACTGAAACTTCACTCGTAAAGAATACCTCCACTGTTCCGCAAGTATCAGTAAAGGATGAGAAGATGGAGTCACAATTTAAACATCCATTTGCCTTGTTTTAGAAATACAAATAAAATGTTCAAGAGGAAAAAGAAAGTGAGCCTTTTATTCGAAAGCTCCTGTATAGCAGCTGTTGATGATTTTAATACATCTAGAAAGCCTAGATTCTGGCTCTCATTGATTGGAGTTGCACAATCATCTTTTTTTGGAACTAGATCTCCAACTGTTGTGGTAAAACCCAGAAACAGCGCTGTGGTTCTGTTTTGTCCCTAGGATCAAAACCACATGCAACAAATGCAAAAAATGCCTTAAAATGCACCTAGGATGTGGTTTCATGAGGAATTGTATTCACACTTCTGGTGAATTTTTTATCAGTACAAAAGGACTTTTCATGCATTCACATCTCTCCTTAACATAAATGATAAGTGCATTTACAGGACTGTTACACTTGCATGTTGCTAGCAACTTTTATGTTGCAGTTAGGTACATAGCATCATATCATGAGTAGTGATATAGTGACAGTGGCTCATTAGGCCAGAGTTTATCCTGGTTTCAAGGCATGAAGAGATCAAAGAGCACATATTTCACACCACAATGGGACACCTGTCTATCACAAGGTCAACAATGGTGGTTTCTGTTCATACAACAGGGTGATTGAAGGACCTCACTCAGAGGTACAACAGTAGTGTCCACAACAGGGACTTGAACCCTCAATCCACTAGTTATGAGTCCAGAAACATCCTCAGCACACTGCCCCTTTTGTCATGAAAGTGCCGTACAAAAAAGAAAACAAAGGAAAACCAGGAGCCAGGCCAGCACGAACTGGTCCTAACTGCTAATGACAGCCTTAGTATCCCAAGTCAGTTCAGCACCGTAACAGTTTTCTACCGAAATGGAGGGAAAGGGCATTTCAGGCGTTTTTTTTTAATACACCCCACAACGTAAATTTCAGCCTTTCAAGTGGCAGTCCTTATTTCTGTTTTCAAAATAGATGTGTATGATTTGCATTTTCATTCGTCTCTGAGCTGTCTTTCTTGGAAATAAGATAGAGATCTTTTGGATCAGACTCTTTTTTTTTCTCTTGTAGATCACCTCAATTTGTTTTGCAGCTCTGTCTTTGGAAACTGTTCTTCCTGTATACTAAGAATAGTTCTTTTCAAATCCACTTTGCTAATACTGGTACAAGATCTGTGTTATTACGACACTTTCTCTCACCAAAGGGTGTGGCGATTCTTTTTTGTAACCTCCTTCACATCCAGATTTTGTGTCTTTTCTCAGTCCTGTTCTTCCAAAGATTTTTTTTTATTTTAGACTGATTCCTGTTTTCTTTATAGGGCCAGCTTTCTGTAATACTGAAAGAAAATTAGAACTATTAGCTTTTTATCCTTGTGCAGTTTATTTTTCAGTCTTTCTTGCATTTAAACATAAGCAAACCATTACCCTGTAACTTTTCATTGTGCTGTTGAGAGTTTACAAACCTAAGTTGAAGTCTCAGGAGCTGATTCTGATATTTTTTCTCCCACCATCGTCTTGTTATCCATATTTCCATACCATAATTAGCCTCAGCTGCCTCATCTGTGCATCATTTGAAATCCAAAGTTCTGTCCACCATAAACTTCCTTTGTCCTTACTTCCCTGGTTTATATA